ATTACTTCTGTCCAAGCTATTTATGTGCCTGCTGATGATTTGACAGATCCAGCTCCTGCCACAACCTTTGCTCACTTGGATGCCACAACTGTGCTGTCACGACAGGTATGGATGTGTTTACTTGAAGTAGGCTAGCAGTCACAGCATTTGTGGTGCTAATATAAATCCTAATCGCTATATTGCCACTCCTATTGGACAGATTTCTGAGCTTGGTATCTATCCTGCTGTGGATCCCCTTGATTCTACATCTCGTATGCTCTCACCTCATATTTTGGGTGAGCACCACTATAACACTGCTCGTGGTGTGCAGAAGGTTCTTCAGAACTATAAGAATTTGCAAGATATTATTGCCATTTTGGGAATGGATGAGCTCAGTGAAGATGATAAGCTGACAGTTGCCCGTGCTCGTAAAATTCAGAGGTTCTTGAGCCAGCCCTTCCATGTTGCTGAAGTTTTCACTGGTGCTCCTGGAAAGTACGTCGAGTTGAAGGAGAGTGTAGAAAGCTTCCAGGTGCTTTTCCTTATCCTTCTCCTTTCTGCCCCTCTCTATCTGTGACACTTGCACAAACATGAACCCACAAGTTGGTCCTGTCTGGCAGATTTTTTTATATTGCATTTGCTTGGCTAGATGACATTTGCTGTCTGGTTGGGTTCTGCTACAATCATAGATTTAATTCGTTGGCAATTCTGTTTTTTGTATGGCAGGGTGTGTTGGATGGGAAATACGATGACCTTCCAGAGCAGTCATTTTACATGGTTGGCGGTATTGAGGAGGTTATTGCCAAGGCTGAAAAGATTTCCAAGGAATCTGCTACTGCTTAAACAGACCAACTTTTTTTCTCCTTTTCTTCCCTTAAACTGATAATTGCAAAAATCAATAATTAAGGTGGTGCTGGTGATGCTAGCAACAAGATGTTCATTTTTTGAGATCAAATTTGTCAGGATTTGCAATTTCTGTTTTAATGTTGTTGCAGAGTGTGAAAGAGGAATAGAGCTGAGCCCTGTCCAGCCAAGCCCCCCTTCCTCCGTGTTGCTTGAATGATGGGGCAACATGGGGAGGCGGGCTTGTATATTTTTCCTTTATCAACTGTCAATTATCTCTTGAGAATCTTTCTGACAGCGTTTACGGATAATCCTGTTTTGAATATTGCAAAACGGGTTCAATTGAACTCACGTCTGTTAACTTGTTCTAGTGTAGCTGGTACAATTTGTTTGGACAGGGCTTTTGAACGGAATAGTTTCTGGTTTTGTTAATCAGAAATTCTGTTTGCATCTTGATTATTCTGTAGTTTAGAGTTTATTGGTGAGGAATATACGATGATAGGCTCCTATAGTAGTTTGTCGGGGACCTGAGTTCTGTATATGTCTGCAATATTTGCCGAGGTTGACCGCGAATGATTTGGTTGTGGCAGTGAAAGGGCTGGTTGGTTAGTTACTATGCCATCCTTTGAAATGTGTCTTCACCTAATTGTCATTGCAAAGCTCAATCTTAAAAATAAAAAACTTGAACATGTTACTCTCTGGCATCAAACGTCGTCTTATGAAAGTCAAGGTTTTGGTTCTGGCAACGAGATGGCATGTATATATTCTACCCATTACGTTTATGGAAAGTTTGTGTTTTGAGAATCTTTGAATTGTGCGTCTATTAGTTGAGATTTTATTACGTGTAGCAAGAGGAAGCTTGGTTATTAATAAACGCAAGGACTGGGCAAATGAAAGAAGAGATATAAGATAACCATCTAGGTGGTGACCAAGTGGTAAAGACTTGGGATCAAGGGGTTTGCTCCCTCTGTGGTCTCAGGTTCGAGTCCTTGGTTGCTCATATGATGGCCACTGGAGACTTACATGGTCGTTAACTTCAGGGCCCGTGGGATTAGTCGTGGTGCGCGCAAGCTGGCCCGGACACCCACGTTAATCTAAAAAAAAAAGAAGAGATATAAGATTATGAAACTTTTGAACGAAATAAGTAGAGAACAAGTTACAGCTTTATGAGCTATGATCCATGGGTTACAGGGCATGTTATGGGAGGTGAACCTTGTAACCTCTCGACTCGGGATGGATTTGGACGTTATTCGTGTGGATCTTTTTTTTTTTATATCGAAATAACTATTTAAAAAAAACACACACTAAAACAGCTTTCTAGATTTATAAAAAAAATCACTTGATGACCTGTGGGTTTGTGTTTATAATAGAAGTTCAATTTGAATACATGGTTTGTGTTTTTTTTCCCTTGCCAAAATATGGTCGTGTTGTGGAGTTGTTTATGAAGAGAAAGTATCCTAAAAAATTATTTTATTATCAATTAAATTTCATTTTTTTTTAATTTAATTGATGCTAGAGAACTTCACCTCTATTTATCAATTGTTAGTTACATCCAATTTCCACGTTTAAATTAAATTCTTCTATCTTGGATGCTAAATTAAAATTCAATTTATTATAAATGATAATTTTAATATAGAATCATAATAAATTTCTTCTACTTTATTAGCCTTTATGTGTACTTTTTATACAAATTAGTTAATTAAAATTCACTATGAATTGTTGCCACTTAAAGAGGTTGAAGCTTATTTCAACTTTTGAAATAGAAATGCTTGTTTTGGCTATGACCACAGTATTATAAAAAAATGATTTTTTTATATTTTTAAATTATTTTAATATTTATATAAAAATATCTGTTTAATATATTTTTTAAGTTTTAAAAATAATCACTTCCATAGTAGAACCATAAAATTTTTAATTGCACCAAATATTTCATCTGCCTCTCTACTTGGGTTATATTTGGGCAGACTTAACAAGGTCAAAAGGTTTTGGAATTAATTGATATTTAAAATAACACTGTAGGGGGTAAAGTATACTTTCCCTTTATGAAACTATACTGCAGCAGACAACAAATTCACGGGCCCACTAATTAGCATATATATTTACAGGATCACTCGAGGACATGACAAGTGGCAACTCACTCAAAACAATTCACCAACGGCGCATTATATCAAACGCCACCTCTGCCACCTCTAGCGCCGCCAACCTCTAGGGACCCAACCACCCGCTTCTCCCACAAACCACCGTCAACCTCTAGGGACCCAACCACCCGCTTCTCCCATAAACCACCGTAAAGTTACTATCTCTCCTTCTACTCTTCTCTCTTTATCATCGCCTCTTCCCCATGCGCACCATTACCCTCCCCTCCTTTCCATGGCTGTCCTACTCCGCCTAGCTCCAAACCACTTAACCACACACCTCAGACATCACCGCATGCGGGGTCTAGCCACGGTCGCCGCTGCAGTATGGCAAGACAGAACAGTCTGGACACAAGCGCCTCTCTCCGGGATTGAACCAGCAGCCGAATCACTCTTCCACGTGAGAATCGACGTTTTAGACTCTCCAGACCTCGCAGCGTCACACACACGTGCTGGACAGTACTTACAGCTACTCGTCCCCGACGTGGAGAAGCCATCGTTGCTGGCCATCGCCTCGCCGCCGTCCGACGCAGCTTCAAAAGGTGCGTTTGACTTTTTAGTGTAGAGCGTGGCTGGATCGACGGCAGAGCTGTTGTGCGGGCTTAAAAGATGAGATGTGGTGGAATTGAGCCAAGCTATGGGTAGAGGTTTCGACATTGATCAAATTGAGCCTGCCGAGAAATATCCCACGGTTCTGATTTTCGCCACTGGATCTGGTATCAGGTGCGATTTCTTTCTCTCCTTTTGTTTTCGATGCTCTCTTGATGAGAAATGAACCTGTGAATATTGCTCATTTCTGCCAAAAAATTATTGTACACAAAATCTTAGAATGGAAAATTGGTGCTATTCAGTTTCATGAGCTTTTGCCTTCCATAGGATAATTTCTAACATCAGATGATGCAATTTGATAATTAATATATTGCATTTTGATATATTAACACAAGCATCATTTTCCATCAAAAGAAGAAGTTACATTTTCTTAGCCAAATCCTTGCTTGTAGTAAACCTGAAGTAGAAGTAGAGTGTGCCATTTAGCCAGTACTAGATGTTTCTTATTTTGGCATTTAGCAACCTTGCTTCATTGCCATTGATTTCTTCAACATCTGAACTCTTAAGTATTCTTAATATATGCTTTTACTTTGTCAATTTCTGTACTATTTTCGTTCTTTTCTCTCCTGCAGTCCAATTCGATCTCTTATTGAGTCAGGTTTTAATGCTGATAAAAGATCTGATGTGAGGCTGTATTATGGGGCTAGAAACCTAAAGAGAATGGCTTACCGGGTTTGCTTGCTTTTTTCTCTTCTTTATGGCATGCTGCTGTGGAATTGCTCTTTCTTGTCCAGTTGCTTTTGGTGGAGTTGATTGAAGCTTGTGATTCTTCCTCCTATAGGATAGGTTTAAAGACTGGGAGTCTTCTGGTGTTAAGAACATGCCGGTGTTATCACAACCAGATGATAATTGGACGGGTGAAAGTAACTATGTACAGGTAGATTGTGCAGACTTGCTTTTTAAGATTGTTGATCTGGGAAAATCTGATTAACATCTATTCATATCTTTGGTTTTTCAGGCTGCTTTTTCCAGGGCCAAGCAAATTTATAGTCCTACTGGCACTGGTGTTGTTCTCTGTGGGCAGAAACAGATGACTGAGGTTTTTTATAAGCCTTCACTTATTTGTTTTCTCATAATGTTTCCTGCATTTATAATTCCTAAAAATGCGTTGTTCATTCATTTGCCATGTTACTCATGATCTAACTTTGGGCATTACTTGCAAATTATAAATTAGGAAAGTGGTCTTGATCATTAAGTGCATGTTTTGCCTTGCATCAGCATGGAATTTTTCCTCATTTCATCAAATCATTGCAAATTAATGCAGATGGTATATGATGTATGGAAAAAATCTTCATTATATGCCAGAGCATGCTGCAACTTCTTTTGGGTTTATTTCTTGATTGGATTTCTCATTTTATTAATCATGCCATCCCACAATTTACACTCTTT